CTCATCTAAGCCAAGAAAGAAATTTTCTGTTGTTTCCTGCATAGCTGAAAATTTGACAGAAGAGGGCAGAAGAAGGATTGATGCTTTTGCATTGTTGCTTTGGATTATAGATTGAATATCCCATGGAATGCCAAAAGAACAATCAAGTCTGTCTTGGAGGAAGGGCAAGCAAGGTCCTCCTTAGAGGATATTGAAACTTTCTGTCACATTCTTTGGGCACACTGTCAGGAAAGATCAGTTCTTGGAAAATTACATCATGCGGGGAAAGTGGAAGATTGGAGAAACAGAGGGAGCCCTTGAACAGGATAGATTGATGCAGAGACTAACAGTGCGTTATCATAGACCATGAAGATGGTGTAGAACAGGACAGGGTTCAGCTCTATTGTTAAGGTGTCAGTCTGAGTTTCAGTTAACTCAATAGCACCTAAGAATAGCAGCAATGAAGACCAACAACTACAGATTTTAATATGGTAATTATTTTCCAGAAAGAAAGTAACAATTCATCCAATGGGATCAAGAAGCAGCACAGTAAAGTGGGAAAAAAACAATTTGTCAATGATTTCCTTTTATTTTATCAATATTAAGGACCCTTGTAAATAGTAGTTAAGAAATCAAACAACAAACTGCACTAGGAAAACCTACTGCAAAAGACCTGTGTGTAGTGTTAAAAGCAACAGTGTGTATTGCGAAGAGACAATGGAACACACCCTACTTTGAAGAATAGTGACTGGTATCCTAAAAGCTCTCAGGCTGCCATCTACTGTGTAGCTATTGTCCTCCCACTGGTTCAAAGCAAAGAAGGGTGGTGAATATCAATGAATCATAGAAACAATTTCTCCAACCAGCTAAGGAACCACTTGCACCTCAAATTTGACTAGAACTACATTGTACCCAGCTCCTTCTGCTGATCACTCTGACTCATAGTAGAGTGTTCTGGAGAGAGAGGGAGAGAAATGTGGAACAAAATGCAAATCATGTTTAATAGCCCAGACTTACTGATCTGATAGAGACTGGTAGAGCTCCCATCATTATGGGCCCACGTACCCTTCTGAACTGGAATTTCTCTAACTCCCATGCCTCCACTTCTAGAGAAGCAGTGGACTAGCCCGTAGAGGGAGCAATAACACTGCAGAGGTACACACTCCTTATAACAATGAATAATGCAAGCACAACAGGGCTGACGAAGATACAATAAGAAGATGAATGGAAACAGTAAACAGAAGGAAGAAGGGAGGAAAGTTCTTTTACATTGTGGGGACCACAGTCAATGTCATAAAACAAAATGGTTAAGAACAATTAAGAACAGTTTGTTCTGCTCTGTAAACTTTCTCTCAAATCTTAATAAACAGGGTTGGTTGTTTTTGTGTTGTTGTTAAAAAACAAACAAACAAACAAAAAAAAGCAAATATGTCACTTTGAGGACTAAAGGGCACCTAACCCAAGACCGAAACTTGATATTTTCATTCACCACATATGCACAAATGCATGCAAAAGCTGGACAATGAGTAGAGAAGAAGAGATTTATCACAGAGTGCAAGAATACTGAATATACACTGGACTGTCAGGAAAACATACATCTCCAAAGACATACAGCTGTAATGTGCTTTAGAAGGAGTGATGGTGAGACTTCATCTAAGGTACTCTGGACATGTCATCAAGAGGATGAGACTGTGGATAAGGATGTAAAGCTTGGTAAAAAGAATGCCGGTTAAAAAGAAGACTCAAGGAGATGGATTGATACAGTGACTACAACAATAGGCTCAAGCCTCGCCATGATTGTGAAGATGACACAGAATAGGACCATGTTTCATTATGTTGTTTATGAAGTCCTTATGAGAAACAATTTACTTGACATCTAACAACAAATAACTCCTAATAGATTCCAAATGGAATATTTGGTCATCTTACTGTAATTTAGAAAAAAAAAATACTGAACTATGTGTCTTCACGTCGTATTACTCTAAATACTGGAAAATCTACTTTTGCATGCACAAACATTCACATTGAAGGTCTGGGTATGTAAGTTATACAAATATAAATACCAATACAGCATTTAATATAAAGCATCCTGTGGGTGTTTATCAGATCTAGGTATGTATCTGTAATTGTACATTCTACCTACTTTGTGGGAATTAAGTGAATTTAATACATTCAGGTATGTGCCCAATATACAGAACCAGACCTGGCACTGTGCACACACGGCACCACACTTCCTGACATGGAGAAGGATGTCCTGATCTGTTTGTATTCTGGGCATGTTTTCTCCATTTAGGCATAATATGAGATGGTAGACTGAAGAGTCTAGGAGCTTGAATTTGTCCACCTGACTAAAGTGAAGCAAGGGCGATACCTTGGCCAGACCCCGAGATAAACACCCTCTACAGTGTTTCCCTCATCTCACCCGAGACCTAGATGAGGCAAAACCTCAGCTCTGTGTATTTGAGGGACCTCTGGTGGCCTATTGGACAAGGAGTTCCATTAGCTTTTCCATAGGAGAAAATTGAGTAATAGCCCATATAATCTACTCCATCTGAATATCCACTGGAGGGTCAGTTATGAGTCAATTCCAACCCAATGGCATACAACAACAACAAATGTATCTTTGTCCACTGCACCCAAGCCATACATCTTATTTTAATGGTTGTGGTGTTGTTTACCATAGAGTTGGTTTTCAGAGGCAGGTAATCACATAGGAGGAGATTGCCCATCCTTCTCTCATGGTGGTCTCAAACTGCATGCCTTCAGTATTGTAGCACAGTTTCTTGCCACTAGGCCACATTGGCTTGGGACAATCTTGTTTGTATATGCAATGAGGAGAGGAAGACTGAAAGAATATGAAATTGTGGGAAGGAAGACTTAGAAATTAATTTCTTTGTGTGGCACACAGTAAAGGAAAACAGTATTCACTAGTTCAGTGAAAGGAAGCCAAGTTCTTTCCAAAATGCAGTCCATGGTATTTTCTATTCAGCGTCAGTTATTTATTGCCAATGAAATGCTTTTGAGCTCAAAGCTGTAGGTAACCAGTACAAGAAAAGTCGACTTTGAATTTATCTTGCTTCATTGAATGATCAGACTTCACTAATCTTGACATATTTTCTAGCCAACAAATCAAAGGAATGTCAAAAGCTAAGTTAGTTTTCTGAATGTTGATGAGTAATTTGAACATTCATGGTTTCCCCCAAAAAGAAATACCATGATTGACTCTGCACACCCATCAGTTTTTTAATGGATTGTGTTAGAAGCGAGAATCAACTTCTAATAGAACTCCGAAGCCCAGCTGCCTGAGGATTTCTTCATTGATTTCAAATGAATTGAAACTTTGATCCATTACAACATTCAGGAGAAGCCATTATTATACATGCTCCGTAGCTACATTTTGTAAATGTTAATTCCTCAGCTATATTAAAATCAATTTTCTTAAATAGTAAAAGGCACCAGAGTGAGAAAAGAAACCACTAAGACTACTTTTTTGTTCTTGGGCATTTTACTATATTATAAATCTGTTCATTTTCTCAGCCAGCAGGAAGAGAATTAGAAAAATTCAAATATTACTACAAATAGGATATTAGAAGTTAGCCTTCCAGGAAACTTTAAACTCCCAGTAATAATAGATCACTGAAATCTAAACTTACTGAAAAAATATTTGTTGTAAGGACTGCTTTTGGCTTTTGGCAATTCTTATACATTGAGAACCTAGTTTTTAAGATAGAAATGAAGGGAAAGGTCTTTCTTGAGTTAATTGCTCTCCTTCAGATGTGACCTAATATTTTACTGGAAAATCAGACATTTTCTAAAAGGACTTCAGTTCATCTTACATCACTTTTCAAATGTTCTTAGAGAGTCATTTAATCATGATACAGTGTAGGGATATGAAAGGAAGTGACTGATAGAAAGCCTGGGCAGCTGCTGTTGAGATGAGTCTGACTCATGGCGACCCCTTATGGTTCAGAGTAGAATTCCACTTTATAAGAGTTTCACGGCTGTGATTTTTGCAGAGCAGGTTGTTAGAGCTTTCTTACTCCTTCCCTTTCTGTTTGTGAGCTAATGTTGGTCAGGAAAATCAGCCCTCTCTAAAGGAATTTCAGTTCATCTTACATTTGTTTTCAGGAGTTGTTGGAGATTAATCTTTATAGAATTAAGGCAAGGGAAAGGAAGTGATCCATATGAAAATCAAATATGGAATTTTAGGGGAGCTCTGGTGGCCTAGTGTTAAGGAGCTGCAACTACAACCCCAGAGGTGCACGGTTCGAATCCACCAGATGCTCTGCCGGGGAAGGAGGGGCAATCTCCTCCTGTACCAGCCAGATCTGATTTGACAGTACACTCACACAAAAATAATAAAATAAAATAAAAGAAGGAGAATTCTCTTATAAAAAAATATGAAATTTTTTACTGGAAAATTTCATGCTTGCCTTTCATACAAGATGGAAATTTATTCCAGTATAGAGGAAAACATTAAAAAATAATGTATATTTGAGATTATATAGAGGTATGTGCATTATTTGATTTTTAAATCAGGAAAATCCAGAATAAAATTCAATTGTCCCTATCCTAAACCTTTACTCAACACAGATAAATTTGCTGGTATTATTTTAAATATTCGGTTACATTTTCAACATCTAAAATATAGACTTTCACTTTTTTAACATGTCCAAATAATTTCTTTTGCAATAAGATAGCTAACTCTGTATTAGTATTTAAGTCTTGAACTCAACTCTAACTCATTTCAATCTAGTCAGAAGCAACTCATTGACCCTCCAGTGAGTTTTCCAGAGGCTGTAAATTGCATGGGAGAAGAGTGCTCATCTTTCTTCTGAGGAGAGATGTTGGATTTGAACCACATACCTTTGGGATGGCAGCACAATTCCTTACACATTAGGCAACCAGAACTCCCTCACACAATCATTTTAAACAATTTTTCATTAATGAATATACAGATATATTTCTTTTTTTCCTCTGAAATAGAGTCACTAGAGTTGCACATTTCTTTTGTATTTCAGCTTATTTCAGCACTACAAGCTATATGAGTTTCTCTTCTGTGGTACCAGGGAAGAAATCCTGTTGGGAATTGAGGTAAGTAATTTTTTTAGGTGGAGCAAATTAAGCTGTATCACTTAATGCATACTGATCAGCATCTGGGTCTTTAACTGCCGAAAGCAATTTCTTGTCTAGATTACTCAAGTATTAATACAACCAACTAATAGTTTACAAAAAGAATAATTATATAAAATGAGCTTGGGATTAAGAAAACAAGCTATCTTTGGCATTAAAAGACTATATTAGAATTTTGTAAATAAAATAGTAGAAAATTTAAAAATAAAAAAAGACTTGTTAAATAACATTTATGTATTTATGGATTATTTGATAAAACTCAATTGAATAAGGGATATATTTCTTCAGGCTGACAAAAACCAGGAAAATTAAGAAGATAAAATAATCAGCTAAATATCTTCTAATTGAATAGTTCTTTTCCGTCTACTCATTGTGAGGAAGCTTTGGTGGACTAAGTGGTAAGGAATTGCACTGCCAATGCAAATGTAAGTGTTTCAAGTCAACCAGATGCTCCACCAGAGAATAACAGGTGCTCTCCTCCCCTGTGATTTATTCCTCTGAAAACCCACTGGGGGGTCAGTTCTCAACAGTACACAACAGCAACACTGTTTAAGGCTTAATTTCAAAATCCTCCTTTCTCAAAGAAGAACTTCGTTGAGTGCACCACATCTCAAATGAAGGGTCTCAGTAAACTGTCTAAGCATGTTCTATTATTTTATTCCAACTGGTCTCTTCATGGTCAATTCAAGTTACTCTTACCACACTAATAAGCATGTAAATAAGCACTGTCTTACACTATTCTGTAAGTATCTGTGGTTTGATATAGTTGATGCACCTCAAGGATAATTTTCCTGAAGGCAGGATTATCTTCTGTTTTCTTACTACAGCACATAGTATAATGGATCTCAGTTGATATCTTATAGTTGACCCAGAAGCAGCAGTCTAAGCAGCATGATCTCTCAATCTCTATCATCCATTGACATAGTCTTTTCCTACAGAATAGTCTTGAACATGATGTATTTTTAATTGTTGTTGCTGATGTTGTTTTTGTTGTGAACCTTTGAGTCAAACTGACCCATGAGTTTTTCAGAGGCAGTTAATCACACAGGAGTAGATTGCCCATTCTTCTCCCATGAAGCTGCTGGTGAATTTGAACCATGTGCATTCAGATTGTAGCACAACTTCTTACTACTAGGCCACCAGGGCTCCCAATTTTTAGGTAGGACAACATCTTAAGACTAATGTTCATGGCAGTGTTATTCACCATCACAAGAACATGGAAACAGACCAAATGTCCAACCACAATCGAATGGATTGAGAAATTATGGTATATTCACACGATGGAATACTATACAGCAAGCAGAAGTAATGATTTTGTAAATTACTACCTAATTTGGGAGGGCCTGGATAGCATTATGCTAAGTGAACTAACTCAGTCCCATTAGGAAAAATACTGTGTAAGACCATTATTGTATAAATAGAAAACTATTAAAATGTGTATTGAGGATCAAAGGTTTGTGTGGGAGCACAGAGGTGAGGATGGATGGAGGGTAAAAAAATAGGGTCGTTGACATCAGGGTTGGGGTAAGACAGAGAAAAACTGGAGAAATTATGTATACTGAATTGAAACAGATGAGGGAGAGAACAGTTTAAAAGTGATAAATGATAGCATATTATGATTATCACAGGAATCCAGAATTAAGTTTGCATAGCCGAGTGCATTGGGGTTGCAGTGGGGGGAATTGCATACCAAGGTAGAAGTTTATCTTTTTCTTTTCAAAGAGAGGAGTGAACTGGGCCGGGG